TTCCATTTATCAGATGCTGCTAGCAAAAGTATTTTGGGGAGTGGGGGTTAGACAGAAAAACAAAGATCAGCAGAGTGAATGTCTCATTACTGACCAGTTTCATTGCATTGCTTTTGTTTACCCAGATGGTTGCAGTTTGACTAAAACGATGTGGCTCATAAAACCTTACACACCAATTTGGACTAATTTAAAGCCAAAGCTACGAGGTAGCGGCTGTCTTTACATCACAGCAGAAGTTACTTTTCTCCTCTTACTACACTGAAGCTCTGAATTGGGTTTCTTTTTGTTTCCTCACTGTGGCATTGTGTCATGTCATTCAAATCTTGAGGATGTTTGGTTCACCTCAAAGTGGTTATTTAAGAAAAAAATTGGGCTTTTACCTGATACGAATGCTCAAAAAATAAAAATTCACACCACCACTCACTCAGCTTTATCTGTCTATATGTTTCAGGTTTCTCATTTGGAGTTGTTTTGTGCTCATTTATCTCCGTCGTCCTCCAGCGATTTGCTGCACTTTATAGCTCCATCTAGCATGCTGAAGCGATTAAGTCAAAGTGCAGACAGAAAAGGGGGAGACTTCCGTTGTGTCACCTCAGTTTGTTAACAACCTCATGGGGATACCAGGAAGCGGGACAGAGCAGAGAAACAAAGTTCAGACCATCTAAAAATGAGAAAGCTGTGCTGTAAATAAGTTTGCGTTCACAGTTTATATAAATCCAAGCTTTTGCTCCAGGAGTTTGAAAACTAAAGCATATCAGTTAGCTCTTATGAGTTCCCAAAGTTCATCTAAAACCATCAAACTGAAATAAGAGATTTGATCAGTTTTGGAACAGTTATGTGGTCTTTCTGGACCGCTTCTTCACTTCTCCACAATTTCTTCTTTTTTGTTAAGGTTGTTTATTGCAAATTGTTTTTCCTATAAACTGGTAGATATAAAATAGTAGGGTTTAATTTGCTGAAACATAGAAACTTATTTTACCAATTATCTCTGGCATCAACCTCAACAAAGCTTTCCTTTGCTAGAGTGTACATGAACACTAATTTATGTTGCAGAATAAGTCTGGTTATAAAATAATTGGGGGCTTGTCCGGGATCGTTTGAACATTTTCTAGTGCAAATTGTGCTAACTCGTTTATGATGTGTAATCGGCACACGGGACACTACTTGTCTTCCACTTTGCTCACATAGCACCCAACTTTGACTTGTTTCCTTGCATGTGATGGACCTACACATGGAGGTTGCTTTGTGTTGCTTCCCGGGGCTTGGCCAAACCATGAGAATCAAGCTTGACCATTGGGGTCTCACTGTCATGCTGCACTCCCCAGACCTGGCTCTTGAATAGTGCCCCAGTTTCCTTATTTTAGGTGAGGTGACCAGTTTAATTTGATCCTCCTCCATCAAAGTCTTCTAATGCAGCTGCTATGTCTCTGTTGATGCCTTCAAGCCATGACCTTCATTGCACACGTGTGGTTAACAGCCGAGTGTGACGCAGCTGGGATTCAGCTTTTCTCGAGGCCATGGTTATCAATCTGTAAAAGTGGAATGCTCCCCTTGAGTCAGGGGTGAGGTTTTTACCTCCAACGTATTAGTTTATCACCATGGAGGTGGTTACACCCAGAACAGAGGGACTGAGATTAAACAGACTCACCTGGGATTGAAAAGGTAAGCAAATTTATTAGTTTTTGAATATTTATAGGCGGTACTGAAGGGATCTAAAAAAGTAGAAAGGAAGGTAAGTATGGCCATTGGTAGGTGGTGCTGAGGTTAGGAACAGATATTCTTTCCTTAAATGTTTCTTGGTGGTTCCGTAGCATTTGAGAGCAGGGTGGAGGATCCCAGGTACGAGAAGGAGAAGTTGAGTTGATAGTGGAGTTTACCATATAGGATTGCAGGCAGGCAGGGGGTGAGCGGCTGAGGAGCAGCAAGATGGTCTGAGACCAAGGTAAGAAATCACAAAAGTTCAGGGTGAAGGCTCATCTTAAAGGCATGAAGGAAAAACAAACAGTAATGTTTTGGAAATGGAATAAACTATATTTCACCCTCTAAGTGCTCAGGGTAACGTGTCTGAATTGCATGTTCTCCATTAACTATGTTTAACCTTTTTTTTTTTTCAATAACTTTTCACAAAACCCTGTGACTACGAAGTGCTCATAATGCAAAGTCCCGACAATGTTGTCGGAGGAAAAGGGGGTGCAGCTCCTTAAGGTAAGGGGTGTTGACTTAGGGACAATTTGCGATCGCCGACCAGTCAGTTGCTGACTAGCTTACTGGATTTATTGACAGGTCGCGTCATGTCCATTGTATTAGATCTATCCCTGGCTCAGCAAAGGAGATGATAGAATCCCTTCCCCCCTCCCCTTCTTTTACAAGCTGTGTCAAACCACACCGATGTGCCCTGCACCTGGCGAAGAGCACCCATTCCCCACAAGTGGGCAATAGGAAACCGATATGTAGGCTAGACAGGCTACATGATTTTTTTTTTTTTTTTTTTAATGGGGAGGGGGAGGCTGGGATGGACGCTTATGCCGCCCATGATGAGATGCCACCCTGGGCAGCTGCCTATATCGCCAATATCAAAAACCGCCGATGCTGCTCCTCCACATCAAAAAGGAGTCAGCTGAGGTGGTTAGCATGTCTTATTGAGATGCTTCCTGGACAAATCCCTTTGGAGGTTTCTGAACATGTATAGGAGGAGACACTGGCACAAAACCTGAACTTGGTGAAATAATTTTCTATCTTCTCTGGCTTGGAAGCACTTTAGGATCAGGAATGGAAGAGCTGTAAAGAGTTGATGAACAGGGGTGTCCATTTGTCCCTCCTGTATCTGTTGCCTCCATGGTCCAACCCCAAATAAGTAGGAGAAAATGGATGGACAAATGTGACAAGTCACTATTGTTAAAAATTAATCAGAATTACAGAGTGTTCAAAGTATGATGTGAGCAGTTTGTTCTACGACTTTTGCTGCAACCTTGAATATAGGCTTATGTTTAATGTCATGTTGTTGCACAAGTTTGGAGGTATATACCCATTTGCTTCTGATCGTCATGTGTTCACAACAAACGGAATATATTTTGGATGATATTGCAACTGGCATTTCTAGCTTTGCACCTTGTTTTAAGTGTGCCATTTAAAGGGTCAGATGGCTGCAACCCTTTTCCATCCTCCTACATCACAGACCGTCAGGACGGCCCTACCTCTGACGGAACTCACTAAATGTTGGGGTTGGACTTATTGGTTGTTTTAAAAAGAGAACTGATATTCACATTTAGGTGCATGGGAACATTTCTCATTTTCTTACGTTCTAAGTATTATCTTGTAAAATAGATTTATATTTGTTCAAAGAAACCTGGTACAAGTCTGCTAAAACCATAGTTTCTCTGTTATATTAGCTGATATTAAGGTTTATTAAATCCCTTTTTTCTTTTTTTATAGCTGTATCAAATGAACAGAAAATATCTGTTTTTAAGAATCCATAACTTTCATCACATTTATCAATTTTGGTCAAGCACTGATTGTTTTCCAGACATACATTTTCATACAGCTGCAAATTTGGTCATTGTGTATATTTTTTTTTTTTTTTTTTTTTTTTTTTACAAAAATAATATCCACAGATTGTTCAGCTGTGTGTGGCTGTGGCCTCAAACAATCTGAGCTAATGGATGATGATAGATGTGCTCTCTCTTGTGCTCATGTGACCTAATCACCCCAGGAGAGTGAACAAGTCCATGAACTCTGACTCCCCCCCTCCTTCCTCGAACTGGTCTGAGAAGAGACAGCTTACTGGAGCCAAACACTGTCAGGAACCTTCAGCCCTTAATTGTTCTACAGAGGCCTCTTGGCTTTGAAGGTGTCATGTGAAATCTGTCCTATCAGATAAAAAAAATCACCACTTCATAAGGTGCACTTTATGTACAGTGTACAACATGACACAATGGTTAGGTTCATATTTCGAATGAGCAAAATAACGGAAACAACTTGTTTTTTGGATATCCAATGTAGATTTAAGGTTTATTTTAGGGACATGTCTAGAACTGCCAAAACTAGTTTTAAATCCATGTTCCAGAGATACTGAGTTAAATAAGGCAGTCCAGGCCTTACAAGGGGGAGCCATTAATGAAGACTTGACTGTTAGATACCCAAGCATTGTTTGGACACGCTTCTTTTTCATTTAGATCTGTAACAATTTATAAGCAGACATAAATTCTAATGTAAGAATTTTTAATTCTAGATTTATACCTTTGCTGCTTGGAAGACATGGTTTATCTCCAAGAAAGTAACTTTTCAGGAAATAAAAATAGGTCTTTCTTTAAAATGTCCAAGTATATTTTTGAGTTTGTCAGTGAATCATGTGATCTTTGGTTGCCTAATGTCTCGAGGTTTATGCATCAAAACATCCTTTGTTGTGAGTTTATCGCACTGAGTGGTTCTTCCAGAAAACATTGTATTTCTCACGAAAATCAACAAAATAGCGCTCTTATGCTAATCAGCCTGTATTTCTTAAAATCAGCTGCTACTACTCCACCAACACAAGTCGTTTTTGATGTTTTAAGAGTTTTTTTTTTTCATTAATAACTCTTAATAGTCCCTAGGTACTGTATGAGTGAGAATGTAAATGGTTGTCTTGTTTGTCTCCGTGTCCCTGTGATGGACTTACAACCTGTCCAGGGTGTCCTCTGCCTCTCACACAGTGACTGCTGGAGATGATGAATGGATGGATACTTTAAGTTAGCTCAGTTGTTGTAAAGCATCTATTGAATTGAGCTGATTGAAATGCATAGCTGATTTTCCTCTATTCTTTCTTCAAATAAAGTAGAATAAAAATAAAGTATTTTACCAATGATGGTTTTAGTGCTGCAGAGCCACATTGCAGTTCAGTGCATTTCCAAATTTTGAGGAATTTCTCTGACCACCTTTCTTCATTTTTGCCAACATTGACCTCATATTAACAAAACATTGTTCTGGTTTTTCATTAAAAACCGTTTTGTTTTTGTCAATTGTAGGGATCAACAAAATCCTCAAAGAGCATGGAGTCACGGCGCAGACCATCAAGGTAGTTTTTATTTTACTATTAATATTATTTATTTGTGTCTTTAATTTTATTTCCTTCTTTTACATTACATGTGCCCCTTATTTTACTTTTTTTTTTCTCTGTCATTCAATAGTCATTATTCCTTAATTTTCCCAGAGAAAATGTATTTTATTTTAACCATTTTATTGTGAACAAATTTTCAATCCAATCAGAAATTAGAAGAAATGTATCTGGAAAAAGAGGCTGACGTAAAAACTTGTTACCTGGCAGTTTGAGCATCTTGAATATTGGTCACTTTAACGCTCTCCTCCACACTCTGAACCCCAGAGACTAAACTGCAGTGCGATCAGACTGTTTGATACAACTGAACAGCAAATTTTCATTAAATCATACACTTTTCAAACATATTTTATGCTGAAAGCATCACAGTGGAACAGTGTTGGAGCTGTTGCCTCACAGCAAAAAGGTCACACATTCAACATCCACCAACATGGAGTATGTTGTGTAAAATCTACGCATATTCCTCTTGCATATGTGGTTTGTCTCCAGGTACTCCGGTGTTAGGTTAAGCGACAACTCCAAACTAGAAAGTTAAATTTTTAATTTGACAGAACTAAGTGTTGGGATTCGCTCTGTTACACCAAGTTTTAGCTCAATATGGCAAAAAAATCGATGAGTTGCCGTATTTTTCAGACTATAAGGCGCAATATCAATGAACGGGTCTGTTTTCATACATAAGGTGCACTGGATTATAAGATGCATTAAGCAGAACAAAAGGGTCAGATAAGTCAAACTTTATTCAACTCATTCACAATAACTCTACCACATAAAATCGGTTCAAGCTCAGTAAGCACAACCAGAATTAATACATAAGGTGCACTGGATTATAAGGCTCACTGTTGATTTTTGAGAAAATTAAAGGATTTTACGTGCGCCTTATAGTCCAAAATATACGGTATAGTCATTTTTGAATGACTGAATTATAGTCAATTTTGAGTTTTCTGAGGTAGCTTTGGCAGCCATCTTGATCCAAAATGGCTCCAAAAGTTCAGTGTTTGTACAGGGTCCTCTCCACTCTAGGTCATGTGACCTCGCTGTCAGTTAGAAGCTGTTAAGAGGTCTGTCAGTGTTTTTCTATGAGAAAAATGGCATCTTTGTTTGCTAATTACACTGCCTAGCCAAAAATAAAGTTGCCACCAAAACAAAAAGGTCACACACTAATATTTCATTGGACCGCCTTTAGCTTTGATTACAGCATGCATTTGCTCTGGCATTGTTTCAGTAAGCTTCTGCAATGTCAAAAGATCTATTTCCATCCAGTGTTGCATTAATTTTTCACCAAGATCTTGCATTGATGATGGCAGATTCTGACCACTGCGCAAAGCCTTCTCCAACACATCCCAAAGATTCTCAATGGGGTTAAGGTCTGGACTTTGTGGTGGCCAGTCCATGAGTGAAAATGATGTCTAATGCTCCCAGAACCACTCTTTCACAATTCGAGCCCGATGAATCCTGGCATTGTCATCTTGGAACATGCCCGTGCCATCAGGGAAGAAAAAATCCATTGATGGAATATCTTGGTCATTCAGTATATTCAGGTAGTCAGCTGACCTCATTCTTTGAGCTCCTACTGTTGCTGAACGTAGACCTGACCAACTGCAGCAACCCCAGATCATAGCACTGCCCCCACAGGCTTCTACAGTAGGCTGCATATTTTTCCAGCCACATTTCTTCCTCGAAGGCGATGGGTCCCCACTATCCTTCCAGTTTTTAACCCATTTTTAGTAGTTTCTGCAATCTCCTTAGATGTTTTCTCTGCTTGATGCATGCCAATGATTTGACCCCTCTCAAACAGACTGACATCTTTTCCACGACCACACAATGCGTCTTTCCACATGTTTTTTTTTAAGAAATGAGAAGCAACTCATTGCACCAGATGGGGTTAAATAACTTGTTGCAGCTGAAAGATAATTGCCCATGCAGTAATTATCCAATAGGAGGCTCGTACCTATTTGCTTAGTTAAATCCAGGTGGCGACTTTTTTTTTTTGGCCAAACAATGTATGTCGCCATAGTAACCCGAAAAAGTAATAGAACACATCACAGTGCCAAGCTGGTCATTTTAATATAAGATTTGTTCGGGCTGCATTAAAGTTGACGGAAGAGAAAGATATAAAGTTAAGAAACCCTTGTCTTACTAGGGAGTCCCCAATTGTCTCTAGATGACCATTTGTAAAAAATTATATGAACACTGTTTTGAGCTAAAGGTAATGTTTGAGGTACCTGAGAATGTAAGTCTTACACTTCCCAACTACTCTTTTGTCTCCACTTGTCGGAAAATGTATTTACTCCGTTGTAGGCCTGTTATTGTCACATGTCACATATTCTAGAAAACGAGTATTCTCTGGGAAACTGTTTGGCTTCTTTGGATTTGTGCATATATCTGTCAGAAAATATGGAAGTTCTGATCAAAAGATGGCTTTAAGTAGAAAAATAAATTCTACTTGTTGACTTTTATTAGTGAGAACTGTCTGGCTCTTCGGTTTCTTGATAAAACTGTCCTTGTTTTACGTTTGCATTTTTGGCCAAATGAGATCACTGCTGCTCTGAAACTGAGCGTGTAGAGATAATTCCTCACTTGTCAGATGTGATTGGCTAAAAAAACAACAATCGCTTCATCTCTTCAGCCCATAAGAAGTTGTTTGGTGATGGGCTGACCAGCGCATGCTGGTGGTTCTGGAATGAGCCCAAACCACAGTTCTGTTTTCGCTCTGACTGCACATGAAGGTGAAAAATGTATAGAAACCATAAGGGAAAACGGTCAAAGAAGAGAAAATATGAATAAAAATTTTAAAAAGCTGCAGCCATGGTAAAATATAAAGATATGCAATAAGTTATCTAAAAAACTTAGTTTGAAATCAAATTATTGTATTCTGCTCTGTGTGTAGGAATAAAGTAAGAGTGATGGTCTCTGCCAGACGTATGAGCGGTTCCCTCAGGGTCCACTCAACGCTGACGAATGTGGGAAAAATGCTGCAGTTAGAACCTTGTGTTCCCTCCCCCAGCTGTGTTCAAACTGACTTCACCTCTTTATGACCTTTTTTTTATACATGTCTATAATTTACCACACAAATCAGAAACTGCTTATTATTACTTATTACTTGTTAATTTAAAAACAAAATCTTTGGAAGTCATTTATTTTTGTGAATTAAAAAGCCCAAAGCCTGACTACAGTTGATCTGTCAGGAATAATTTAATACGGTGACTAAATTTGTTGCTGATTATTCTTTCCTATTTTATCCTGAAACTTTTAAGTGGGGTTATTTGGCACGGTTAACAGTCATTATCTTATTATTGTCTTTATTTCTTATCGTCTCTCTTTGAGTAGGTTTCATTCTGACCGAGTTGACGAGCTAACAGATAGCCTGAACAGACCAAAGTGGATCGCTGCCAACTTGGATTTAAAAAAATTGTCTTTTTAAATGCTGTTTTAGAAATTTTTACAAAATGCATCAGTTTTGTTTTACGTTTATTCCTGCAGAAATATGTTCAAATGCTGCACCAGAATTGTTGCATCTGTCCTCCGCTGCTGCTACTCAATATTCTTAAAACAATAAGTATAAAAACTAAGTTTAATAAATGGCGTTCATATGAATTGCAATAAAAGTTTGGAGATGTGAGTTGTTTTAAGATGGCAGGACCTCACTTTGGACTTGGCCTCTCTAGTTTATCAGTCCAGTCAGAAATAAACTGTTATTTCAAAGAACTGATGTTGTTTAAGAGCTGTTTACTGTACAACCAGGAAGACAGTAATTAAAACTAGAAAGTTCCTGGAGAAACTTTGATGGGCACTGACACATTGCTGCCAATTAAATATTTTGATTTGACAGTACTTTGTGTTGGGGTTCGCTCTCAGCTACCACTATAACAAATTTCATCTGAAAAGCTCTAAAAATGGCTGAGTTATTGTATTTTTTCCCTTTTAGCTAAGGCGGCCATCTTGTATTTTTGATTTGGATTCAGTATGTGATGGGGATTGTTCTCAGCTATAAACTCACCAAATTTCAGCTTGATAAATCTACAAGTAGCTGAGTTAAAGCCATTTAAATGTAACTGTGGCCATTTTGAATTTTTAGATTTGACTTCAGTATTTAATGGGCATTGCTCTCAGCTACCAACACACCAAATTTCAGCTGAATAGCTCTAAAAATGATCAAGTTGTCATATTTTTCCCTTTTAGCTAAGGTTGACATCTTGGATATTTGATTTTCATTAGGAACATATGGTAACAACTCGCTCGTAGCTATGAACATACTAAATTTCAGCTCAATATCTCAAAGAATGACTGAGTTATAGTCAATTTTGTGTTCGCTGAGGTAGCTGTGGCAGCCATCTTCAGCCATAACAATTTAGAACTGGGAAATTTTGTTTCATAATTGTGATTTTAAGTGAAATTAAGTCATTAATTAATAGTAAAATTTGATCTAGAAACCCTAATGACTTCTCTCCAGGAGCACGAGTCTTCTTCAGGCCCTGGAGGAGAGCTACGAGCTGGATTTGCTCTACATCACAGAGAGGATCATCTCCGTCTCCTTCCCCAGCAGCGTGGAGGAGCAGAGCTACGCCGCCAATCTGAGGGAGGTCGCCTCCATGCTGCGCTCCAAACATGGCCACAACTACCTGGTACTGTGTCAAAATAACGTTGACTTCATTAGTTTGGGTGCAGGCAAGCTAAACAAACAGGGTTTGGGATGATCACAATCTAGTTTTTTCAGATCCAGGAAAAAGTCCAAACCAGTGATGTGCGATTGGGAGAGACAAGTAAGGCAGGGCCTCGCGTATTACCACCAAAAAGAAAACACACAATAGAAGATGAAGCAAATATTTTCGTTTGTTACTGTGATGAAGCGTCCTTGTCGCTCCTTCACACTTTAGTAACGCATAAATACACAACCACATGCACACAGAGCCACGTCACACTCCAATCCTCTCTCTGCTTAGTTGTGCGAGTGCTTATCAAGCATTCACAGTATTGTGATCCATTTTTCTTCCGTACATTTTTCTGCATCTTTCTAGTTCCATATTTTTTGTGTCATAAATCAAAACGTTCAGCGCCTTCTGGAGAAGGGTGCTATGACATTTGGTATTGGTGCAACTTCAGCTTTTTGAAATATTTAGCCTTTTCTGCCGCCTTTTTCTCATAAAAATGACTTGAGTTCATTTTACATCCTTCAAATCTTTAGATCTGTTCACAACCTTTTACTGCTCCTTTCACATTTTGTTCTGGTTCAGCTTCTTTCAGCTTCCTTGTGCAAATTTAAACTTTTTTTTTTCAGCTACTTGCAGCTGTTTTTTCAGATTTTTTTTTTCCAGTTTTTTTAATGTTCCTTTCAGATTATTTCTGCTAACTAAAACACCGTTGTGTTTCTAACTTATTTCGGCTAATTTCAGCCTATTTATGCAAGCTTCAGCTTTTTATGTTGTTTCAGCTACTATTTGGCATTTTATGCTAATTTTAGCATTTTCAGCTAACTCCACATTTTTTGCGCTCATTTCAACTTCTTCCAGCCTAATTCAGCAAAATGTGCTCTCCACTTCCTTCTGGTAGTTTAAGCTTATTTCTGCCTTTTTAGCTAGTTTTGCTTATTTCATCTTTTTCCAGATAATTTCCACTATTTTATGCTCATTTCTGCTTCTTTCAGCCTAAATTACTTCTTTGTGCTAATTTCAGCTTGTTATGCTACTTTCAGCTTTTTACTGCGTTTCATCTTTTTCTGCTCTTTCAGCTACTATTTAGCACTTTTGATGCTCTTTTTAGCTTTTTCAGGTAATTCCACATTGTTTAGCTCATTTCAGCTCTTTTTGCTTCTTTCTGGTAGTTTAAGCTTCTTTCTGCTTTTTCAGCTACTCTTTGGCTGTATTTTAATTTTTTTTTGTTGCTTTTTTTGCCTTTTTTTGCTCATTTCCAATTTTTTGTGCTCACTTCTGTTCTTTTAAACCTAATTCAGCAAATGTGTCCTTTCTGCTTTCATCTGCTAAATTAGCTTGTTCTTCCATTTCAGCTACATTTCAGCTGTTTTTCAGCAAGTTCTTATGCAATATGCATTCGCACTGCATTTTTTGCATTAAATGCAATTTCTCTAGTTTTATATCTTGTCTGTAAAATTCATTATAATGTCTATTTTTCCTCACCAGCTTTGAACAACCAAGAAAATAAATTTAAGAAGAGAAGTATTTAAATATTTTTATTTTTTCTAACTCTTATTTTAGCTCTTTAACCTGAGTGAGAAGCGATATGACATCAGCCAGCTCAATCCAAAGGTACATTTTATTTCTTCTCCTTACTCGTCTTCCATTTTATGGGACTACTGGTCTTAACTACGATCTCTCTCATACCTCAGGTGTTAGACTTTGGCTGGCCTGACCACCACGCTCCTGCCCTGGACAAGATCTGCAGCATTTGCAAAGCCATGGACACGTGGCTGAGTGCTGACAGCCACAACGTGGTGGTGATTCACAACAAGGTGAGGCTGAAGGCACTGTGGTGAGAGAAAAGCTGGACTTTCTGGACAGTAGATGGTGCTGTGAGGCTCCTCTTCGCTGGTTTTGTGTCTAATAATGAACCCCTATGAGAGAAACAACGGAGATCCAGGGTGGAGTGTTTGTGCATGACATTGTGCCACTTTATTTTCTTGTTTTGGTTCTGAGGGGGTAAGAAAACACAAATTAGGGGAGGAAGGCATTACAGTCATCATGGCAGCAAGTGTTTATTTACCCTTTTATCCTCAAAAGTGCCATAAAGTTTGAGTTGACCAATCATTCCCTGCTGTTGCATCACATTAAACTTTTGTGGCAAGCCACACTCATCTGGCTCCTAAACACTGACACAACCCATAAAAACTACATCTAAATACAACTGCCGTGCTGATGCCTCAAAATTTAACACTGAATACTTGCACGTCAAACCCACAGAATGATGAGAGCTTGGAAGTTTGGCTGTTCACAAAGGAAGGAGGCCTTGTTGTCAACAAACACAAAAACAGCTTTAACTCTGTTTTACACATTTATTTATTTGCCTTAATTTAACCAGTGGCCCGTTGCACAAAAGTAGGATCAAAGGGTAAGCCTGTGTTTTCATGCTATCCTGTATTAATCTTTGATTTGGTTGGACAAAAAGAGGAGGCAAATACTGTGTTTCCATGAAGAATAATCCTCTGAAACCAGCTTGGTCCTGATCAGGCTTAAAGTTGAGCTTAATTAGTCTGTTGTCGTTTCTGAGCAGTCATGATCTGAAATCGGTGCGTTTCATACAATTATTCTGTGTTTATGTACAGATTTGCCTCATTTTGTGAATGCTTATTAAGTATTCACACTAGTGATCCTGTTTATATTTAATATTATTCCAGGTTCTTTAAAATATTCGGTATGTTTTTCAGCATCTTTCTCATTCCACAGTTTTTTGTGCTGTTTCAACAAATCCTATATCATGCATATCAAAACGTTCAGCTCTTCCAGGACAACCCTGCTATAATTTTTGGTATTGGTGCACCTTTAGCTTTTTGAAATATTTAGCCTTTTTGCCTTTTTTTTTTTTTTTTTGCATAGAAAATGAATTGAGCTCATTTTTACATCCTTCAAATCTTTGGATCTGTTTACAGCCTTTTACTGCTCTTTTCACATTTTGTTTTGGTTCATCTTCTTTCGGCTTCCTTCAGCTGTTTTTTTTTTTCAGCTGTTTTGCGCTCCTTTTTGCTGTATTCTGCCAACTACAACATTTTTTGTACTTCTAACTTATTTCTGCTAATTTCAGCTTGTTGTGCTCCTTTCAGCTTATTTATGTAAGTTTCCGCTTTTTCTGCATTTCAGCTACTATTTAGCTGTTGTGATGCTAATTTTAGCATTTTCAGCTAATGTACACATTTTTTTGCACTCTTCAACGTTTTCCAGCCTAATTCAGCAAAAATATGTTCTCTCCACTTCATTCTGGCAATTTAAGTTTCTTTAGACTTATAGCTACTATTCAGCTGTTGCTTCTTCTTTTTTTTTGTTACGTTTCTGCTTTTTTCAAATAATTTCCACCTTTTGGTGCTAATTTCTGCTTCTTTCAACCTAATTGGGCACAACTGTGCTCTCTCCACTTCCTTTTGGTAACTTAAGCTTCTTTCTGCCTTTTCAGTCTTTTTTTATTTTGCTAATTTCAGCTTTTTTTTTTCTAGCTAATTTCCTAATTTTTATGGTCATTTCTGCTTATTTAATTTATTTTTTATTTAATGTGGAAACGGAATCAGTGGCACAAGTGTATCCTTTTGCATTACTTGCACATTCGATTTGCAACCCTTTTTTTTTCTGCTTACTGACGACCGTGGTGTTTCCTTTTTGGCGATCATGTTTCCTCTCTGTTTCCATCTGTTGCTCTGCTGGAGAGGAGTGAGATGCATGCATCTTGCTTAATCTGGAAATCTGTGATCCATCGAGTGGTTCTTATCAGAAAACCGTGAACCCGCATTAATCCGAGATTATTTACACCTGGCTTGAATTAGCAGCCCCATTTGATTCTGGCTGACGTTTGTGCAACCAGTTAAGCTTGTCTGCAAGTTCAAGCATTGTTCAAGTGCGGCTTCTTGCGGGTATACTGAGCATAAATCCTTCTTTTGTGCAACGGTTCTCAGACTGAGATCACCAATCTCTTTTGCAAGGGAGGCAGCCTGAAATGCATGTTTTGGACAGTGGGAAGAAACCGGAGTACACGGAGAACATAACTCCATACAGAAAGACCTCTGGTCCAAACTCGTTGTATTTTCTGATTTTTATAAAGTGAAAAACATCAGTGTTTTAGGCTGTTGTTTGTAAGGCTGATTGCCACAGGTGAAGATAAAACCATCTGCTAACTGGTGCGTCACTGATCTGTTTTCAGGGCAACCGAGGCAGAACTGGGGTGGTGGTGGCGGCATATATGCATTACAGCAACATTTCTGCCAGGTAGGTCCTGAATACCATCCACCCATCAATCAGTCATCTTTACCCACTTCTTCCTTTCTGAGTCAAGGGGGGTCACTGATACCATTTGGAGTCCAATATCAATATTGATAAGTCCCCACATCACTTTTATTTGAGATCCCAGATCTCTCAAAAATAATATTTTGGTCCCAGACCTCCCAGAAACATTGACGAGGTCCCATGCTTGATTTTAGACGCTTATCAGTTCAGTCGAGCTCACGGACTCCAAGGCGTCCTTGGAGTGCTAGCTGCATGTAGCAGCCTCACCCATCTCTCTTTACTAAGCCAAACATATGGTTCATGGGCAGAGTTAATATTCTCAGCAATAGTAATGAAAACGTCCAAAAACTTTGACCAGAAATTCCCTAACATTTTACACAATGGTATATACTTACTTTCTTACGTATTTACTTAGGTTTGTTTATTTATTTAAAGTGTATTTGGTTAATTTTTCAGCATTAAATTCGTCCCGCAGTTTTTCAGCTATTTCAGTAATATAGGTATCAATAGGTTCAGCTTTTGAAGGACAATCCTGCTATGACTTTTGGTAATGATATATTTTAAACTTTTTGAAATTTTCAGCTTTTTCAGCTTCCATGAAATCCTTCGTCTTTCTGCTTTTTGAACTGTCACTACTTCAGCGTACTTCCTCCTAGAAAGTCCCTTAAACTTTTAAACAATTCACAAGACATTCATCTATCACCAAATGATTCATCTTTTTGATACCTTGAAGCGTCCTTCAGCATTCTCACTGCATTTTCACAGGAAATGCAATTTCTCTTGTTTCTTTTGTATTTTCGGTCATCCTTCCTTCTGATCTTCCTGGTTTACGCCCTGAGGGTAGTTGTTTTAAATGAGCACGTACACTTCAGTTGGAATAAAAAGTGTGAACTTGTGTTGGATTGCAGTGCTGACCAGGCTCTGGACAGGTTTGCCATGAAGCGATTCTACGAAGACAAAGTGCTTCCTGTGGGCCAGCCGTCTCAGAAAAGGTCAGTTCTTTCTTACCACTTGTCTTATTATTATTATTTTATGCATTTGTTGTCACAAATGTGAACCCTTTTTAAAGCTGCAAGTGTATATTTATATATTTTAATTTCATTTTTGCAGCAAACTTTAAGCACAGTAGCAAATTACAGTACAGTGTGGGCTTGTTAATTAAAAGCTCCACATTTGAGTCTTTTTGGTTTGTTTTATTAAAGTCCAGTAATCTTTTTTTTTAATTTTATTATTGTAACAGGTTTTTCAGCACTAGCTCTAAAAGGATCAGATAAACGTGCCATAATTTTAGCCATTTTATTGTTTCAGACGTGGTGCAGAGTCAGGAAGTGTGTGGCTGTTTTGAGTTTAACAGAAAACCCCAAAAACAGAGATTTAAAAATTGTTTTAAAGCAAAAAAGCTTTGTCAGAAATGTTTTTTTCTTTTTGTGACACCCTGAAAATTTCCATATTTACTGCTTGAGGTCAGAGCTGGTTTGTTTTGTTGAGATGATCACAGGATTATAAATGCATGTTGTTCAACTCTGGAGGTCTGATATGATCCTACTCGGCCAGAGGCAGCACTGTGATGGTCTCTGCTCTTTCAGGTATGTGGAGTACTTCAGCGGCTTGCTGTCCGGCCACATCAAGATCAATAACAAGCCTCTGTTCCTTCATCACGTCATCCTGCACGGCATTCCCAACTTTGAGTCCAAGGGAGGTTAGTGTTGTGCACAGAAACCGTCTAACAAGCGAGCATCCATTGTTCTTTGACACCTTTTCGTGTTCCAGGTTGTCGTCCTTTTCTTAAAATCTACCAGGCCATGCAGCCCGTCTACACATCTGGGATCTAGTAAGTTTTAAAGCACACTCATGCTTTTACAAGATTCCAGGGATAGCAAGCTCATAATAATTTTAAAAACCAGATTTTTTTCCTTTATAGCCTCCTCTTTAACCCCCTTCTTCCCAGCGTACAATCACTTTACCCATCCTACCTTGTTACTCGCTTGGCTCACATCATTGTATTGAGTCAGCCCCCTCAGCTGCAGGCTAGTTGATCTACATTAGATCCTGTAATCACGTCTGTTAGTATTTGTGACCGAAGGTCCAATGAAACAGGCAGACAGGCATCTGTGTGGACGCCTGCTGGGGTTCCCCTGCAAGAGGACCCCACAGGTTCTCAGGGAGGGCCAGACGGGAAACGGCGGCTTTGATGACTTTCTGTTGCTGTTTTTGGCAAAGGTTAAAAGTCAGAGATGAGTGTAGGAGCTGAGCTCTTTATCGCTGTCAAGACAGATGTCTGAAATGATCGTGATTAAAAGTATTACAATTCAATGGAAAATGTTATATGTATTGTGGTAGTAGCTGATACTTGTCCACAACACATAATCTGAGTGCTAACAGCTCCAGTGAGATCTGCAGGGCTGGGAATTAAAGGCAGACGACGACGACGATGATGATGTGAAACAATCTGTGAACTCACTCCTAAAACGTCTGAAATCCGCTTTAATCACTTTCCTCCTCTCTCTTTCACATGCTCCCTATTAGCACCTCCACCCTTTGATCCTTCTCTCTGTTACAGTCATGTTCAACATTAAAACCCAAATTTAACCAAGGTTTTTTTTTTCTTGTAAAGAAATGTGATCTTATTGGATTACAGGGATTATATACGATTATCAAAAATTAACAAACATAATCCAGTGGAACAATGTGACCACATTGGTCATCATAAAGCTTAGTCTGATTTATTGTTTTTTTGCTTGTGTGTTTGTTTTTTGAAGTAACGTTCAAGGTGACAGCCAGACAAGTATTTGTATCACCATTGAACCGGGTCTTCTTCTAAAAGGGGACATCCTGGTAAGAACAACAAATATATTATTGTTTATTTTCTTGCTTTCTGTTGAAAAATCCAGCTGCAGAAATGTAAAGAAATCCACATTTAATAAACATCTACGTTTATTGTTCAGGAGTTCTCAGGGAATCCTGCTCGTTTTTCCAGCATTGGCTGGAAGCACTGTATGCGTGTTTATAGTAGCTTTTCATAGACGAAACAGGGCTGTAAAAACCCGGGGAAAGACTTTTGGACCAGATCCTGTACCTCACTTTATAGACCCTCATTAGCACACAATGTGTTTCTGGAAACTATGATGTCAAAATAGAGCTGTGCTTCCGCTCCAGCAGCATTTTGGGAAACGAACATACCATTAAAACATAATCTGATCTTAAAAAAACTATATGTTTATCAGGATTTTTGGAAAAGTTAAACAAAAAAATTAATAAAGGGATCAACGCATAAGTACAAGAATTACAATTATGTTGGCTTACTTTTATTATTCTTTCATTTCCTTCATGATTTTTTTAGTTTATTGAAAAAAGTTCAAGACAATACATCAAAACCTGTGGTGTGGTCAGGAATCGAGTGCGTGGACTTTTTAAAGCCGTACATTGACGGGAGACAAAGTATAATCTGGTGTATGAACAGAAAGTTGGACATTACAAATCTGAATTGGCTTTTTAAAATCTTTAACAGGTTTTACAGTCACAATTTAGATGTTCTGATTTTGGGAGTTTTTCCATGAAGTACGCAACTTATTTTCGTGTTTTGATTTTATGTCAAGTGCTTTGTCCTTCTTGTTGTGTCGTACTAAGTTTTAGCTGTACACCAAACTAAATTCTGAGAGATGTTTATCATATTACATATAAAGTTGTTTGCTTGATTGAAACTCACTGTTTTCACTTTGGATTCCAAAAGTTTGTCCCAAATTAAAGGTTTACAGAAGTAAGGTAGTTTGTGTTGAAGTTTTGGGACAGTAGCTACATTGGCACCTCTCAAATTGGCATCAGAAATCTTTCAGTTATGAATAAATCAGCCCTTTTTCAGAATCTTGTGTTTTTGTATTTGCATGTTGATGATCATCAGCACAGTTTTTCCCCTCTGTTGTTATTCAGACCATAATGTTGTCCATGAAATGTCTTCAGGACTTAGCATTTCTGTGTTGCGAGCCTCAAACAGAGCACTTATGTGAGCTTGAGGCTTTTTTTGTATTTGGCTCACAAAGCTAAACTCGTATCTCATTCTTTATTTAAAACTAATGGAATCTGCGGAACCATCTGATGGAGCGGGTTGTTTGCCGATGCTTGTTGTTGCTCCGATTCGAGGATAATGTGACAGTGGGCTAAGGGCCAAACGGGAGAGTCAGCGCAGAGCGGAAACCACAAATCAGACTGCTCGTTTGAAGATTATATGCCTTTCAGTCTTTACAGAAAATTATAGAAAACTTTTACGTGCATGTTTAAAATTCCTCAAGTTTCAGCTAATAGTTTGCAGTCTCAATAGGCAATAGTTTGTGTCGTGCTGATCCTCAGTTGGTCAAATTAAGCAATTTTTTTAAACTTAAATACATTTGTCAAACCAGCCTATGAAACAATTTCAGTTCAATTTATTTATATAGCACCAAATCACAACAGAAGTTGTCTCGGGACACTGAACAGAAGCATTAATATACATATAAAAGCCAATTAGTAAAACTTCTTGATCTAAGGAAGGAAGCCAGCAGACTTGTTGAATCTTCACTTCATCACAGTCTCCCAACCTGAGCAAGCACAAAGGAGACAGTGGAAAGGAAAAACTCCCTTTTAACAGGAAGAAACCTCCAGCAGAACCGGGCTCAGGATGAGCGGCCATCTGCTTCGACCGGCTGGGTTTGAGAGGACGGGAAAGATCAAACGAACACAGAACGACAGGTCCAGGTGAACTTTCTGTAGGAGGAAAGACAAAAAACATGTGTTAAGATAGAAATAATTACAGATACAAAACAGGTAGAGTAAGTGAAGACAGCAGCAGAGTGAAGAAATGTGGTCAGTTTGTCCTCCCACAGTCTAAACCTATAGCAGCATAACTAAGGGATAGGTCAGGAAACCCAAGTCAACCCCAACTATAGGATTTATCAAAGAGGAAAAATTTAAGCCTAGTTTTAAAAGTAGAAAATGTGTCGGCCTCATGGAAGGAAACTGGAAGTTGGTTCCACAAGAGAGGAGCCTGATAACTGAAGCTCTGCCTCCCATTCTGCTTTGGGAAACTCTAGGAATCACAAGTAAACCTGCAGTCTGAGAGCAAAGTGCTCTATTAGGAAAATATGGAACAATAAGATCTGTAATATAAATTCATTTTACAATAAATTGTGTTTTAACAAATTGCCAACATCACTGACTTGCTAAAATACTCTAAACATCTCACGAATCATATTCATTTTACAAAGAAATGGCATGACGAAACACACCTGTGGACCTGTGTTTGTTGAGTCTCATGACTTTCATCCTTCAGCTCAAGTGCTACCACAAACGGTACCGCAGCCCGTGCAGAGACGTGATATTTCGGGTGCAGTTTCACACCTGTGCTATTCACGATCTGGGAATCATCTTTGGGAAAGAAGAGCTGGATGAGACATTCAAAGGTGAGAAGGATAAACCAGCTTCTCTCTCTCTCTCCTTCAGGCTGTAGGTCTCTCTCCTTTCATAGCAGGGTCAGCCACATGGATTCTTCTCCAGTTTGCTCTGTTTCATGTATCGTCTGTTGTGAGATGGTTTGTCTTCATATCCCGCTGGATTATATCCATCCACCTCTTCTTCTGCCGTTTCCTGCTTCGTTGACTGAAAATGTCTGCGTTTAATATCCTTTTTACCATTATCTTCCATTCACTGCACATGCCCATCCTATCTCATTCTTGATTCCTGTATCGTATCCATGACGCATGCCACGCCACTCGTTTTTCTAATATCGTCATTTCACCGTCTATCCTTGAGGGATACTCCAAAAATCCTACGTTTCATCTGCATTTCTGTTCTTTCCAGGAGTTCCCCTTCCTTAAAGTCCATACCTCAGCTCCACAAAACAGACTGGGTGCACCATCATCTTGTACACTATCCCTTTAATATGAATCGGCATCCTTTTGGCACAAAGCATTCCTGTCTGCTCCTTCCATTTTTGCCATGCCGCACCAATTCTGCGTTTAACATCTTCACTTGGTTGCCTGATTGACCACCTGAAACTGTATAAAAACCGTTATTTGTTTGTGTATTCCACCTTTACAACACCACAGTGCTCATGGTCGGCTCTTCTCTTTGTGCAGATGACAGGTTTCCAGAATATGGAAAAGTGGAGTTTATTTTCTCCTTTGGTCCTGAGAAAATCCATGGTAAGCATCAGTAAGAAAATCCTACAACTTTGCTAATTTTTCTTTTAATTCTGTTAAAAAAAAAAAAAACAGTGCATTTGTTAGAGGTTAAAAACTTTTTTTTTTTTTTTAACAAAAGATGCGAAGTGTCTTTCATCATATTCTGTTTGAGGTTTGGGGTTTAAAGACATTCACGTTTTCCGCTCTGCCTTTTCGTACTTCTGGTCAAGGTATGGACCACCTGGAGAACGGGCCGAGTGTCTCGGTCGACTATAACACACAAGATCCACTGATCCGCTGGGACTCGTACGAGAACTTCAATCAGAGCTGCGAGGACGCCGCAGACGGTGAGAACAGCCTGAATGTATTCTGGATTATTCTGCAAACTGTATTAGAGGTGTGAAGCTCTAGCACTTCAGAATTACAGAATCTAAACTGAGACCGGTTCTTGTCATGAGACGAGACTGACTCGTGAGGAAATTGAGAACCTCTGCAAATATTTAAAGACATTTCAGAGACTTCCTTGCAACTGTTGCAGCATAGTGAGATGAGACTTACCAGGTGTGGTTTGCTTGATTGTCTCTGCTTCTAGGAGAGTTGTCCGTTTTAAATTAATTACATAAAAACATTAGCGTTTGAGTCTCTTGTTGGAGTAAACCTGTCCTAAACTGATTTCTGTGTACTTGAACTCCTCTTTTTTTTTTTACTGTGTAGTTTTACTTCTGGCATCAAAATACTGCCCCGTTAGCCCCCCAAAAACCATAACAAACTGGTTTTACACACCACCCTGGATGTGAATTGTGTTTTGAATGGGAGGATAGGCAGCCAAATTCATTTGTGGTGAAACCAAACACCCCGTGAGACCCGAGTGTTGCTTTCCAGAGCGCAGACATTCCTGAGTTCAGCCACAGGCATGGACGGAGGCTTCCTTTTGAGGCGGCGGTGGTCGCTCGGTGACCAAAGTGCTGCTTTCTGTGCCACCCAAAAAAGGAAGCGCTGCTACGCCCTGAGCGGTACCAAGGAACCATCCATCTCCATACAGCTGTTTATTCTAATCTCTGGAATGAACATCAAGTCTGACAGAAAACAGTAATAACTTGTTTCTGTGTTAAATATTATGAGCTGAAGTACAAGCAGGATCACATCATGAAGTTTTAATCAAGTTACAACAGTGAAGATTATTCAGTTTGAGTATGCTGATGAATGTTTGAGATTTTGTTTTTTTAATCTTTAAAAAAAAAAGGCTTAGCTTCTTTGAACATGGGTCTCTGCTGACAGTCTGATGTTCCAGACTCCTGCCTGTGTGTTTTTATTAGGCTCCCAGTTAACCAAGGGTCAGAGGTGACCTGGCTTTCCTTTATCTCTGACCATAAACTGTGGCCGCCTGAAATAGGCGCTTCTAAAATAGAGCAGGTGTAAGTCTGCTCTCATTCTGTTGCAGCGAAGGTGAGCTTCGATGTTTGTGTGTAGAAACGATCTGGTCCGAGTCCCTAACCCCGCCCACCACCACCTCATCCTGACGATGAGCTCAGATCTGAATTAATGGGAGTACACACACACACACACATGCGAGGTCTGTTTTTAGCCTCCTCACACTGGAAGAGCTCGATAAGCCTCCAGACATGTTGCTTAATGACTGTTAGACAGCAGACATCTTATTTTTGGATTCTGTTTCTCACTCTGTAGGTTAGTTGGAGTGTTTCTGGGATTGTGTGACCTCCATTAACGCTTTGATTCATTTGATTGTTTTTGAGTGAATGTCCTGATGAATCATATTGAAAGACCCAGGTGTGTGGTAAACGTGGTGACCCCAGTGAACCACTGGAAACATAAAGTTCAAAATTCCTGCAGGGCTTGATAAGAGAGTTGACAGACGTTGCAGCGTTGCGTTAAACCTTTATTTAAATGTGCCAGTTTTTTTTTTTACTTAGTCCTCATGCAATGCAAAGTTGTTCAATTAGTTTTTGTTCGTTCAGCTGATATCTCAAAGATGGGATTATTTTTGTTCTTCTTACTGTAATCTCTCAGCTTCTGCACATACAATAAAGGACAAATCATTATTTTGTTGTTGTTGTTCAAGTTCAAGTCAACTTTATTGTCGTTTCCAACACGTGGTACATGAGGTGGAATGAAATTATGTACACAGGGTCCCAGTTACTCCCTAAAATGGAAAAGATAAATAAAAAGAAACGGTAAATAAGGATCTAAGATATAAAGTAAGATATGTTAAAGGAACACCAAACGTACACTAAAAGATCTAAGATATACGCTAAACACTTATAATGTAAAACGTAACAACAGCAGCCCGAACATGAGTCTGCGGTGAGCAGATGGGTATGAATGAATACAGCAGCATGAGATAATCAGTAGGGCTGAACGATTTTGGAAAATATTCTAATTGTGACTTTTTACATCAGTATTGCAATTTAATATGCGATTGTTTTTCAATGTCGTCTTCTCGTATTTTTCGACGAACACAAGCAATAAATCAGTTTCAGTGGCAAAAAAAACCTCCATTGTTTTCAGCTCCGCTGCAGCTCTGTTTCTTTTTTTGTGTAGCTCCGGGATAGCAACTTGGCTAAAGCGTGTGCGCGAGGGCATCCTGTACCGCTTATCCATTGTTTACCAAAGCCGTAAACCCAGGCTTGGTCACAATATTAACGGACATCATGTCTTTCACTATGAAATCCGTTATTGCTAGAGTTATTTCCGCGTGCCGTTTTGAATTAAGTTCATACGGAGTAATACCTTTGAACAGTTCGGCCAATGATCCCTGTCGGCTGCTACTTTGCTTACTTTAAATTGAAGCACTGGTCGTTGGCGTTCTAGCCACGCGACTATCGTAAATGACTTTGTGGTGTTTTTTTAAGTGTTGATAAAGATTTGTAGCGTTACCTCGAGAGGTAGCAACAGCAGCAAGGCAGGTTCTGCACAATACATGTCTTTGCTCAGCGTCTTCTTTTTTATAGACTAAATAATTCCAAACAATGGACGTGTTGCCCCTCGTTGGCACCAAACTTTCAGATGCATCGGCTTCTGTTGAGCCTGACTCCACTGTGCATCCGGTTAAAACAGTGTTGACTTCTCCCGCTCCCTGCTCCCTGCTCCGCTCACCTGCAAATCACGTAACCGGATCATGTGACCAGTCAAATGGCAGCCTTCGCAATTAGAAGATCTCGTTTTATAATATTGAGATATTTTTGCTAATGTGATAAATTGTTCAGCCCTAATAATCAGCAGCATGAGATAATCAGCAACATATTGCCAATTAAAAAGTAGCATTACAGTGATTTTCTTTTTTTTTTTCTTAGCGTTTAACCTGGTTACGGATTAAAGGTAGTTGTTGTTGTTGTTTGTGTTGTTGTTGTTGTTGTTTGTTTTTTTAGAGGCTGATATTGAGTCGTTTATAGGCCAGGCAATTTCCTTTTTGGTAATGGAGGGTAGAAATGAAGAAAAATAAATTGGGGACATTAAAAAATATATATATATTTATATTTATTTTGAGATGCAAATCATGAAAGTGTAAAAATGTACTCAACCAGCATGGATTTTTTTATTTTTATTTGTGTCATGGTTGTGTGAAATAAAAGTAGATCTGAGTTTTAAAGAAAACGCATCCCTTTCATTCTTTTTGTTTCTTTTATTTGCACGTTTTCTGTCTGCCCCGTCTGGGGAGTCGCAGGAGTTAAAATGAAACTCCTCCGCTTGGCTGTGAAGCTCTTTTGTGCACACTTTCACCGGAGGAGTGACGGAGAACGTCAGCGTGGGTCTGTGCACGCTGCTGCTCTGCAAGCGGAGAACACTTGCAGACAGGATTGTGTGTCCAGACTTTCTTTAGTTTTTGTTTGACACAGATGCAGAGGATGGTCTGACTGTCTTTGTGTAGCGCTGGAGTTAAAAACTGACAGCAGCTTGAGGACATGTGAGTAGCCTGCTCTGTACAGTAGAAGTGAATCTTTTCAACAAGCCAGAAGCTTGTCTTGTCTGCTTCTTGACATTACTTATTGACATGAAGTTGTTTATTATCCTCAAACTTGGCCACAAGTTTTATTTGTTAATCTTTGACCTTGCTTCAGCAAAACTGTTTACAGCCTTTTTGTCCAATGCTGACTTCTAGTTTTCTGGTTTTGAGGTGACTTTAAATACAATTCAGATTTATAGCTTTTTTTTCTATTTATGTTCAGTAACTTCTTAGTGGGAGGAGCATCACTGAGCTAAACAACTTCATTGCTGGGATCTTGGAATGTAGTGACACAAAAAAAAGAGGTTAAAAGAGACAACAGAAGACTGATTGTCAAGCAGGACCTACAGTTTAGAGCAGAGATATTCAACAACATTTGCTCAGGGGCCATAATCCCTCCTAGAAACAAGTTTGGGGCCCAATGCTTGATTTGCCTCCTGGATGGTCAGGTTTTTTTTTTTCTGTTACATGAATAGGTTATATTTTCCTTGCTCATTGAAGTTTTAAAGGTGCCAAACAATTTTCTACTTTTCTTTTTTGTTGTTGGTGGGGTTTTTTTTTTGTGTGTTTTTTACGAGAGGTTCATTTGCCTATGAATTTGTGTGCATAAATGTTAAATATAAAGAAAAAAGTAAAAAAACAAAGTTTTTGTGTGTGTGTGTATATATATATATATATATATATATATATATATATAGATATAGATAGATATAGATAGATATAGATATAGTTATAGATATAGATATAGATATAGATAGATATATAGAGAGATTACATTTTCCCGGAAAATGCAGTCTTGCAATCTGAACACTCAGCTGAGAATAACTTTAAAGAATCTTTTTAGAATAACTTTGCTAAAGTTTGCTGAAGAACTTGAAACTGAGTTGTTTAAGCTAAAAAGCAGAACATTAGCTAAAAGTGGCAAAACTTCAACGTAAATCTTAATGTAACGAAAGGTTAGCTAAAAGCCAGAAGTAGCAAAGTAGTAGCTAAAGCAAAAAAAGTAGAGCGCTACCTGAAAGTAGTAGAGAACTAGTTAAAAGCAGCGTAAGGAATTAATAATTGAGCGAGTAAGATGAAATGTTTATCAAATAATTTCTTGAAGAAAGGTTAGAGATCTCAAGTAATTTCTACGGGCAAAAATTATACATAAAATGTATTGTTTAAAAAATATAAAAGTTACACAAACAAAAAAAATTACAGTATCTGTCCGTTCATTGAGCTGAACGTTTTGACATAATTACTGGTATCTACAAAAGCACAATGTTTGAAGCAGTTAACTTTTGAAAAACATATAAAATTGATAAAACATGATAGTTTTAAGTTATACAGCTTCTGTGAGCAGTTTTGGATTTTTTTTAAAATCCAAACACAATGTAAACTAGC